ATCATGGCATCCAGTCCCATCACTTCATGGCAAATAGAAGGGGGAAACATGGAAACAATGACAAACTTTATTTTCTTGGGCTCCAAAATCACTGAGGATGGTGACTGCAGCCATGAAATTCAAAGATGCTTGCTCCTTGGAAGGAAAGTTATGACAAACCTAGACAGCAAATTAAAAAGAAGAGACATCACTTTGCCGACAAAGGTCCATATAGTCAAGGCTATGGTTTTTCCAGTACTCATGTATGGATGTGAGAGTTGGACCATAAAGAAGGCTGAGCACTGAAGAATTGATGCCTTCCAACTGTGGTGTTGGAGAAGACTCTTGAGAGTCTCTTGGACTACAAGGAGATCCAACCAGTCCATCCTAAAGGAAATCAATCCTGAATATTCATTTGAAGGACTGATGCTAAAGCTGAAGCTCCAATACTTTGGCCACCTGATGCCAAGAAACTATTCATTGGAAAAGACCCTGATGCTGGGAAAGACTGAAGGCAGGAGGAGAAGGGGGCAACAGAGAATGATATGGTTGGATGGCATCATCAACTCAATGGACATGAGTTTGAGCAAACTTCAGGAGACAGTGAAAGACAGGGAAGCCTAGTGTGCTGCAGTCCATGGGGTCACAAAGAGTCAGACACGACTTAGTGACCGAACACTGACTACCCACCAGAATGTGAGTTCCATGCAGTTCAGGCATGAGGAACTCATACACTAGTAGCCTTTGTCTGTCTTGGTCACAGTCTCATATCCCTAGCAACTAAACAGTACCTGACACATAATAAGCACTCAATAAACATGTGTTGAATGAATCTTCACATTTACCCTGTAAACATTATTATTATCCCCCCCTTTTATAAAACAACGGGACTAAAGTTTGGAGAGGTTAATCTGACACAGATCCCTCAGCTAGAAAGTAATCTCCCCTAGAATACTCTTACCCACCACCCAAGCATCTCTCCAGGTGTGGCATTAAACTGTATTTTAGATGGTTCTCAGATCAGCTCTTAAAAACACACGAATATTCATTGGCAAAAAAATAAACCTCAACCAAATTCTGAGCTTATCTAAAAATTAACTCAAAATGGATCATGGACTTATTTGTAAAACTATAACACTTCTATTTTAAAAAAAAGAATCGGAGAAAATCTTCGGAATCTAGGGTAATGCAAGGAGTTCTTAAATTTGACACTAAAAGCATAGTTCATAAAAGGAAGTTTTGATAAACTGGCCCTCATAAAAATTAAAAATGATTGCTCCATGAAAGCCCAGGTAAAGAGGAGAAAAAAGACAAGCTAAAAGCCAGGGGAAAATATTTACAAACTACATACCCAAAAAAGGACTAGTATCTAGAATGTGTAAAGAATTCTCAAAGCTCAACTATAAAAGATGAATAATCCAATTAGAAAATGGGCAAAGACATGAATAATTCATGAAGAGGATATACAGATGGCAAACAGCACATGAAAAGATGTTCAACATCACTAGGCATTGAAAGTGAAAGTTGCTCAATCATGTCCGACTCTTTGCAACCCCATGGACTATATAGTCCATGGAATTCTCTAGACCAGAATACTGGAGTGGGTAGCCTTTCCATTCTCCAGGGGATCTTCCCAACCCAGGGATCGAACCCAGGTCTCCTGCATTGCAGGCAGACTCTTTACCAGGTGAGCCACAAGGGAAGCCCATTAATGTCACTAGGCATTAAAGAAAGGCAAATTAAGACCAGGATGGGATATTACTACACACCTCTCAGAATGACTAAAATTTTTAAAAATAATAACGACAACACCAAACGCTGGCAAGGATGTAGAAAACTGGGTCACTCATATGTTGCTGATGAGAATGTAAAACAATACAACCAACTTTTGCAGTTTTCAATAAAACTGCAGTAAGTATGCAATTACCATATGATCCATCATTTGTATCCTTAGTTAGGCATTTAGCCCAGAAAAAAATGGAAAATTATGTTCATACAAAAACTTATACATGAATGGTCATGGCAGCTTTACTTGTAACGGCCAAAAACTGGGACCAGTTCAGGTGTCATTCAACAGATGAATGGTTAAACAAACTCTGGTGTAGCCACATCATGGGATATTACTCAGCATTAAAGAGGAATGAACTATTGATACATACAACTTGGATGAATCCCCAGGGAACTACACTGACCAGAAGAGTCAATCTCACTGCCGAGATCATTCAATGGGAAAAGAATAGTCTTTTTCATAAATGGTGCTGGGACAACTTGACATCCACAAGCAAAAGAATGAGACTGGACTCCTACCTCACACCAAATCCAAAAATTAACTCAAAGTGGGTAAAGGACCTAAATATAGGAGTTAAAACTATAAAACTCTTAGAAAAAAATAAAAGTAAATCTTCCTAACTTTGGATTAGGGAAAGGTTTTCTAGATGCGACATCAAAAGTACAGATAACAAAAGAAAAAGTAGGTAAATTTAACTTCATTAAAATTAAAAACCTTTGTGCTTCAAAGGACACCATCAAGAAAGTTAAAAGACAACACACAGAATGGAAGAAAATATTTGCAAATAGATATGATAAGGATCTAGCATCTGGAATATATAAAGAAATTTTACAACTCAATAATTAAAAGATAAAAACCCAATTTAAAAATGAGTAAAGGATCTGAATAGACATTTACACAGAGAAGACATACAAATGGCCAATAAGAACATGAAAATTGTTCATTATTATTATTAATAATATTGTAGTACTTTTATTATTATTAATTATTATCAATTATTATCAATTATTATTATTATTATTATTAACCATCAGAGGTGTGCTAAACCACAATGAGACACCACTTCATATCCACCAGGAGGGTTATAATCAAATGACAGATAATAATAAGTGTTAGTGAATATGTAGAAAAACTGGAACCCCCATACACAACTGATGAGAATGTAAAGTGGAATGGCTGCTTTGGAAAGCAATCCAGCAGTTTCCTAAATGGTTAAACATAACTACCATATGATACGTATATGCTATACACTCAGGAGAAATTAAAACATATGTCCCTACAAAGATCTCTACATTAATACTCATAGCAATACCATTCATAATAACCAAAAAGTATAAATAATGCAAATGCCTTCCAACTGATAAATGTATAAGTAAATTACGGTATGTCTACACAATAGAATATTATTCAACTATAGAAAGTACTAAAGCATGCCACAACATGGATAAACCTTGAAAAAGGGTGCTACAAGAAAAAAGCCAGTCACAAAAGACTACATATTATATGATTCCATTATATACGAAATGTCCAGAGAAGCAAACCTATAGAGACAAAAAGTAAATTAGTGGCTGTCTAGGGCTAGAAGTATTAAGGGGAGATGAGGGGAGAGGTGGACTGCTAAAGGATACAAGGTTTCCTTTGGGGGAGGGGAAAATGTTCTAAAATTTATTGTGGTGATGGTTGCACAACTCTGTGAATATACTAAAAACCACTGAATTATACACTCTAATGAGCAAATTGCATGAGATGTGATTATATCTCAATAAAGCTATTACCAAATTAAAAAGGCAATTCAAAACGTTATATACTGGGACATGTCCGGAGGTCTGGTGATTAAGAATCCAACTTCCAATGCAGGAGATGTAGGTTTGATCTCTTGTCTGGGACGATCCCACATTCTGCTGGGCAACTAAGCCCAATCGCCACAACTACCGAGCCTGTGCACCACAAGAGACACCACCACCATGAGAAACCCTTGCACAGCAACTAGAGATTATCCCCTGCTTGCAGCCATTAGAGAAAGACGGTGTGCAACAATGAAGACCCAGTGCAGCCAAAAAGAAATAAATACATGTAAATAAAGTAAATAAATACATGTATTACCAAAGAAAAACAAAAAAGGTTATATACTGTGTGTATATATATAATGTATGATTTTATCATCTATATAACATTTTTTTAGAAATGAAGAATAGATTAGCAGTTCCCAGGGGGTTGGCCTGGAGGGACAGCAATGATACAAAAGAGCAAATCAAAGGATCCTTAAGCTGATTGAATTGTTTGGTATCTTTTGACTGTGGTGGTAGATACACAAACCAACACTAAAATAAACTATATAGAACTAGATACACACACATACACACAAATGAGGACAAATGAAACTGGGTAAGTCTGAATAAGGTCTGTGGATTTTGTCAATGTCAGTATCTTGAGAGTAATATTACACTACAGTTTTGCAAAATGTTACCATTGCAGGAAATAGGGTAAAGTGAAAAGGAAAATCTCTTGTATTTTTCCTTGTAACCACATATGAATCTTTTATATGGCAATAAAAATTCAACAACCACCACAAAAATGCTGAAATTACAGAGTAAGAAAATCGCTTGGTTCTCAGTCTCTCTTCTGATTAAACAAAAAAGTCTCCTCTGGTGCAGGTGTGCCATTGCTCATAACAGATGCTTTACCTTTTTAAACAAGAAAAAGCAGACCTCAGGCTTAAATGCCCAGATGAGAGAATCCAGCTAGAATTGAATAATACACTTTTATTTTACACTGTTTAGTTGTTTATTTTAACTAGATGATACAGTGCAGAATTAAGAACACAGATTCTGAAGCCAGCCAGTCAAGAGTTCCAATCCCTTACTGCTCTGCTACTTACTAGCTGTGTGACTTTGAGCCAGTCTCTTAACATCTCTATTCATGATAATCTGTACAGAGGTTACAGATTTTACACCTCATCTGTAAAATGGGTACAACAAGAGCAACCCCTAGATCATGGGGTTGCTCTGAGTTTTAAGTATGACACACACATGTGTCCTTCACAGAGTAAAGTGTTAGCTATCATCCTTTTCTTTACCGTAACTGGGATGGAACGAAAATCATAAAGGTTCAGAAAGTTTAAGAGGCACAGAGGGAGGCCGTACTACTGCTCAGAATGTGCCCTTCGCCCCTCGGTTGCCCTGAATCCATACCTGGGTATCCGGAGGAGGGAGTGAAGCCAGCAAGCACCCACCTGCACACTTGGTGCGGCTGACGAGGGGCGGCCCGGGACGGCCGGTGCCACCGTCACCCGGGCGCGTGAGCAGCACGCTGATCTCGTACTCCGTGTCGGGGTCGAGGTGCCACAGCTTGTAGGTCTGCAGGCTGACGGCGTGCACCTCGGCCCACGGGCCACGCGCCATGCGGTACTCAATCTCCTTTCGGACGATCGGCCCGTCCCCGATGATGGAGTTGGTGTTGAGCTGAATGATGAGGTAGGTGGGACCGGCGCGCAGCAGCTGCGGGGGTGCAATGGGGGTAGGGGGCTCTGCAAGGAGATGGGGGAAAGACGGAGCCAGACGGACGCCGCTTTGAATCCCTGGCTCCCAGCTCCTCATCCTGCAACACCCAAAACCCCCAGAGCCTTCTTGGCCCCCCACCCCCACCCGCGCCCCAGGCTCCTCATGCAGCTCCCCAAGTCCTCGACTAGACTGCCTCTTCTCACTAAATCCCCAGGCCCTAAGAGACGCCGAACTCCAAAAGCTGACCTTGCCCCTCACCTCTCAGCCTACACCTTCTCCCTCACTCCCTTCCACATCCCAAAGTCCTCGCCTCTAAGGGCTGACCGCTTGTTGGCCTGGGAGGCCAACAGCCCGATCCCGCCTCGCCCGGGGTCACACCTTGACCCAGTCGCCACGCGGGCCCACCTCTCAGAGGGATCTCCTCCCCACCCTGACCTTCAATTAGGACCCGATCTCCCAGGAGATGACACCCCCTCCGCGAGCCCCGCCAGGGAGGTCGGAGCACACCCAAAGTCGGACTCGGCCTTTCCTGCGTGTCCATGGGCCACGCCCATCGACGAGACTCCGCCCCCAGGTAGAAGCCATGCCCGCTCCACCTTCGCCCGCCCCGCCCCTCGGAGGCCGACTGCTCGCTCACCCTTGACAATCAGCTCCGCGAAGTTGGAGACGCCGGCTCCACGCGGGGCCTGGGACACGCAGCGGTACAGGTCTTGATCCTCGCGGCTCACGGCGACCAGCGAGAAGGTGGCCATGAAGCGCCGGTGGCTGATGTGCCGCACGCCGGCCGCAGGCAGCAGGGCCCCACTCTGTCGCTGAGCCGGGAGAGGGGCCAGTGGATCAGGCGCGCCAGGGAAGAAGGGTCTCCATTTGACCCGGGCAAGCGGAGTGGTAAACTGTTCCGGCCACATTTCGCCATCCCTAAACTACCCAGGGAGGCCTGGCGTGCTGCGGTTCATGGGGTCGCAAAGAGTCGGACACGACTGAATGAATGAACTTAACTGAACTGAACTGAAACTACCCAGGGACGGGTGGGATTCTTGGAACCAACCCTGTCCCAAGAAGGTGTGGGGCCGATTAAGGAAATGTGGTCGCTCTGCCTTGGTGGCGGGGTGTGGCTGGGTGGGGGGGACTCCTGGAGCCGTGCTCTGATGTCGGGGGAAGGGGCACCCACGAGCACAGAGCCTAGGATGAGCCAGGATGCCTGTGTTTGGGTGCTGGAGAAGGATGGGAGGCCTCAGCACTCCGCAAGGGAGCTTGAACTTTTCGTAAGAAGCTGGCCAAGGTCTCCCTCGCCCCCTGCCCCGACCCGGCACCCCCCACCCCCGCTCACCTGCAGAAGGAAACGCTCGGCCTCCGCTGCTCGGCCCGCCGCCATACACTGGAAGGAAGCGTTCTGGCCCGCGTTGACCTCCACGTCGCCCAGGCGGGAGAAATGTGGGGCCTTTGCTGCCGAAATGCAGCCCTGGTGTGAGCTGGGCCAGCACCCCCTGTCGGCAGGAGCCGCAGCCGCCCGCACCCCTCACCCTGTACCCCACTGGGTCAGGACTCACCGCAGGGGTAGCTGAGAAGCAGGATGTCATCTAGACCCATGTAGCCCCTGCGGTCTGGGGAGATGAGGGCCTCAAACAGCACCTGGGGGAGGCGGGAGGGTTCCTGTCATCTGACATCTCTCCAGCCCTGCCTGGGGAGGTGCCCACAAGAGCCCCCTTTCAAGCTCTGCTCCAGCTCCATCCTCCCCAAGCAGAGGTCAGCCCCACCTGACAATCACCCTCCATACCAAGCCAGCTGGTTGTGGCAGAGGGTGTCAGCACGCAGAGCTAACAAGGTCAAGGCCAGAGGTTCCATCCAATCCCGGATGGATGTTACCTTCAAGCCACAAAACTTGGCAGCCAAGACAGGGTTTCCAAGTCAGCACTATTCCAACTCACCCCTTCCCTAGCAACAAACTGTCACTGTTAACAATGACCTCTGATGCTGAACCCAGACTGAACCATTACTAAAGAACCACAGACTGGCCACTGACCTTGACCACAGACAGACTCCTGATGCTGAACGCTGACTAACTCCAACCTCGGCCACTTGCTTACCCTGACCTCACACTGACACCCCACTCTACCCACAGCCCCCAGTCACAGACTAACCGCAGACCGAACCCAGCCCACCTGGTATTCATTAGGCCAGAAGGTGCTGACAGCCAGTTCAGCCTGGTGCCACTGTCGGCCGTGGGATCCAGTCATATTCCAGACAGCACTGCCCAGGGGACCCCCATTGACACGCACGTAGATGCCCAAGGTGCCCGGGCTGTGCCCATCCCGGCTATACAGGAAGTAGCTGAACTGCACACAGTGGGTGTCGTTTTCACTCAAGCTCTGGAAGATGACATGGGCCCGCTGGCCTGGAGCATGCTGGGAAGCGTTGACCACCAAGTAGGAGCCTGGAAAGAGAGGAGGAAGAGGCAGGCGCTGAGAACGTAGGGGAGGACCAGGGTCAGGGGGGCACGGAGGAGGAGGCAGAAACAAAGGACTTCATCTAGAGTCAGGGGGCCCGAGTTCTGGTCCCAGCTCTGACTCATGGGGTAAGTCCCTCCATTTCCCTGCATCCCTTTCTCAAAGGAAAGGCTTGCAGCAGCAAAAAAATACACAGATCTGGCTTTGCCAAAATCCTTTATTGCTCCTCGCATCACTCCTTATGACCTCCGTCCAAGCTCGTGTTGGTCCATGTCTTTTCCCACCTACTGAGCTGTCCTGAGAGGCAGGGACTACGACAGTCATCTCAGGAGTCAAGAGTCTGGCACGTGACAGGCCCTCAAAGTCCACCTCTTCTGAAGCTCCCCCCACTCCCCACCCCGTCACTCTGCGGATGTCGCTCCTGGCACCTGGATCATTAATAAAGTGTGTATCACTCTCCCCACGAGCCTGTGATACCTCGGGGCTCCACTGTGTCACAGCACAGGTCTGCACGCTGAACAAACACACAGAACAGAGGTTGAATGAAAGGTCTCTAACTTCCCTTCGGGCCCCCATCCCCCTGAATCTAAATTCCTGGGATACAATTCTCTTGTTTTCAAACCTGGAGAAAGGCAGTCCTGTCCCTTCCCCAGAGATCCAGGCTGTGCACTGGGAGCAGGGGAGAGGGGTAGAGGGGGAAAGGGAGCTAGACTCCTCCAGATCTGGCTGAGGGATTATGGCCTCCCTCCTGTGGGGAGAAGGCCCCGGCAGCTGCCAAGAGGGTGCCCGAAACCACGTAGGGCTGCCTCTTCCCAGGCTTGGCCACCGGCCAACACAAGCTCATTCAGATCCCAAACCACAAGGCTCCCTGCTCCAGGAGGGCTCTCCAGCGACTCCGCTGGAGGGAATCGCATTCATCTGCGGGAGCCAGAAGCCTGTGAAGAAGGCAGCTCCTGCATCAGTCCTGGTGGGGTCGTAAACAAAACTCCAGATCCCCATCCCCACCCAGGAAGGGATGCATCCCAGCCCCCAGCACAGTCTCTCTTGGCCCACGCCTCCATCCTCTCTCCTCTCCCTGTGAGCAGCTGTGTGTGCGGCTCTCTCCCCCTTTCAATCTGACACTTTGTTCTTGCCTCTTCCTCCTGCTCCCTCTGCCTCTCTCTCTTCTTTTCCCTAGTTTTTTCTCACTCCGCATCCCTCCCGCTTCTCTCATCCACTCCCCTCATCCCCATTGCCCCACCCTCTCCTCTCTCCTGCTCTCTGACTGCGAGGGTGAATATCCCCTCCTCCCTTCTCTCTCCAGCTCCATCTCCCTTCCCTAAAATGTGAGCACCAGCAGAGACTCCCTCCATCTGGCTCACCACTGCATCCCCAGGATCCAGCCCGAGGCCCATACTGCATATGAAATTTCTCATCCCCTTTTCTCACTGGGTCTGTCTCTGGCGGTGTGGGGGAGAGAGAGAAGCAGAGCCTACCCAAGGTGGTCGGGACTGTAAGAGATGAACTCAAACCAGCCACCTTGGAACCTGAAGGCTAACCCATCTCAGGCCGAGACTGGGCCCTGCGGATACAGAGTCAGCCCACTCAGCATCCCTGCCGTGGTGGGCACCTTGACAGCTCACTGTCACCCAGCTCAGACTTTGAGATCTGCCAGGACAGAGGTCAAACAAGGAGCTAAGCGTCCTGTGAAGGCACAGATAAATGTCCCACGGCGGGCAGAGTGTGAGCAAATGCACAGAAGCGGGGAGGCACCGGAGGTCTCCAGGAGATGAGGCAGGGGTGGGAGGCCAGGCTGCAGAGACCATGTCGTGGCGGGCCTCCATCCTGTTGGCTTCAAGTCCCGGCCCCACAGTGAGAACCTTTTATGTCCCTCCCATGGATTCTTGACAGCAGGTGCCATCTTGGCCATGCTGTGAGCTGAGCAACAAAGGCCCTGGCCTCTTACTGTGACAGGGCCAAGGGGAGGGGACTCAAGCTATCCAGTTCTGGGTTCCCTCAGCAAGCCCATTTGGTTCTCCTACTATGCTATGTCCTCCAACCTAGCCTTTATCAGTAACAAAGGTGACAATCTGGCCTCCATCCATCTTATCCTCTTCTTAATCCCCAGTTGATTCTTTACCCAATGACAAGGGGTGGATCTTAGTAGTTGGGCCCCTCAAATATCTCCAACAATTGTTTCTAATCATTCACTGAACCCTTACATGCCACCCCCACGTTATGTATATTACAACACTATAAAATGGATTATTCTGTGCTCCATTTTGCATTTAAGGAAATGGAAGCTCAGAGAAGTTAAGTGACTTGCCAGAAACCACACAGCTGGTAAAGTGATGAAGCCAGGATTTGAACCAGGCTTCACGACTCAGTCAGTGCATTTGAGGCCGTCATCAGGGTAGAAGGCCAGGACGAGGATCTACGCAATTAGTCTCCTGACTCCCAGCCGTGTTCATGACGCCAAATGCTCCCCATCCTGAAATAGGGACTGGGCAAGGCAGAAGCTGGGAAAGACCTGAGGCTCGCAGGAAGAAAGGGGCAGAGGAAGGAAGGTTTTACACACATCCAGCCCCAGGGCGACTGCTCTGTCAGCATCTTGACATCCTGGGAGACCAGGATTTAGTCACAGGGAGAAGGGAGCCTCCCTGAAGGTGGAGGATTTAGGAAAACTCGGCAAGAGTAAGGAGGATCCTGAGCTAAGCTGCCCAGGAATAACGGGAGGTGGGCTTTATCTTACAGTTTTACAAGGGTCTTTGAGGACTCGAACACCTGCGCCCATTTTACAGGTAAAACTACCTGAGGTACACAACTGGTCTGAGTCCAGAGAGCTCCACATTCACAGTGTCACGTGTGCCACTACAGAGCAGATGAGGCCCAGAGAGGTTAAGCAATGGACCCAGGATAACACAGCATGGCCCCGGAAGGAGACGAAGGAGGAATGGTGCTGAGGGTAGGCTCACCGTGGGGCAGGTCCGCAGGCGCCCGGGTGCCGGGGTGGATCCGCACCTGCTCCCACTGGAAGTCGTCGTACTGGGCCTGGCTGTACTCGCAAGGCACCGCTGGGTCACTCGTCTCCTCGAAGGTGCAGCCGGCTGTGAGGGCAGGGCCTGCTTAGCCTAGGCTGGAGTGGAGGTGCTGGCCCGAAGGGCTCCTGCGGCTACCCTCCAGGTGCCCCCACAGTCCCCTCCCACCCAAGCCCACCCTCCTCCTCTCCTCCTCCTCAAGCCCTCCCCCCTTTCTGCTCCCTCCAACAAAATGCTCCCTCCCCCACGCTCTCCCCCCACCAAGGCCCTCTTTCCATTGTCTCCTCCGCAAGCCAAGACCTCCCACATTGCCCACCCGCTTCAATAGTCCCCAAAGCCCTTCGGCTCAACCACCCATTGAAGACCCTCCTCAGCAAAAACTAGTTGTTATTACTCGGTGTGTTTGTGTGTTTATCACTCAATCAGGTCACATGGCTACAGTCCACCCAGGTTCCTCTGTCCATGAGATTCTCCAGTCAAGAATACTGCAGTGGCTGCCATTCCCTTCTCCAGGGGGATCTTCCCTACTCAGGGACTGAACCCAGATCTCCTGCATTGCAAGCAGTCTTTACCACCTGAGCCTCCAGGGAAGCACGTTATCATGTGCTGTGCTTAGTTGCAGTCCTGTCTGATTCTTTGTGACCCCATGGATTGCAGTCCGCCAGGCTCCTCTGTCCAGGTGGATTTTCCAGGCAAGAATGCTGGAGTGGGTTTCCATACCCCTCTCCAGGGGATCTTTCCAATCCAGGGATTGAACCCAGGTCTCCCGCATTGCAGGCGATTCTTTACCATTTGAACCACCAGGGAAGCCCATTATTATCATTACTATCCATTAAAGTCTCACAACAACTCGTGAGATCAGAACTAGAATTATCCCCATTTTATAGATAAGGAAACTGAGCCCAAAAAGGCTGAGTGACTTGTTTAAGGTCAATCGGCAGGTCAGTGACAGAGGCGGAGTTTGAACCAAGATCTCCTGACTGCTGGTCAGTGTTCTATCACCGGCCCCTGCGTCTTTGCAGAGAGGACAGACAGTGGGCCCCAGGACTGGCAGAATCGATTGCCCTAAGCCAGCTTTGATGGCATCTCCTTAAAAATAACAACAACAACTGATCACGTGACTTACAACAAGCCCAGCACAATGCTAAATGCTCTGAGTGTGGAGTCCCACTTAGGCCTCGGCTTCTGAGTAGGTACCACCACTGTGTTACTTCTACCTTATGAATGAGCTCAAGGGATGCACACCACCCAAAGTCACCCAACTGAGGTCCCTGACTGCAGGAACATGGCAGGCAAAAACACTGTCATGTGAGGTCCAGGCACCCATGACTATAGGAAGCAAATTCCCAAGATTCTGAGCCACTATGCACAGTTTAAATAAGGAGAAGGGTAAGCAGGAAGAGGGGACCGAAAGGGATGCTAGCCCTTCAGCTGGTAATGAGGTCCATGTATCTTAGCTGGCTGATCAACGCCCCGAGTTGGACCTAATACACCTGAGAACATCACTGGTTCAGGAAGTAACTGGTGCCTGCACTCTCCCCTTAGCTGGTGCAGTGGTAAAGAATCCACCTGCCAATGCAGGATGATACAAGAAACTGGGTTTTGATCCCTGGGTAGGGACGATCCCCTGGAGGAGGAAATGGCAACCCACTCCAGTATTCTTGCCTGAAGAATCCCACGGACAGAGGGGCCTGGTAGGCTACAGTCTATGGGGTTACAAAGAGTTGGACATGACTGAGCACACACCACCACCACTACCATGGGTAGACTTAGGCATCTGAGACCCAGGAAAACGCCTGGATGAGCGGCCAGGAAGCAGACACAAATCATGCCAGGCCCTGTCCTGGGTACCTGCCAGTCACTAGTACTTCTCCGCACTTGATAGATGAAGCGACTGAGGTTCCAAGGGGTGAAGAGATTCGTCTACAATATAAGGCGGTAGATAACCAAGTGGGCTTTGGCATCAGACAGACTTGGGATTGAATCGTAACTCTGCAATGTGCTGGTCCTGTGACCATGACCATTTCTCATCCTCAGTTTCCCAATCCACACGGGTGTTTGTTGAGGATTCAACACCGGGGTCCACTCAGCATGATGCCCAGCACATGCAAGCACTCAGAAGACCGGAGCTCTGCACCTGAGCCACCTGAGTAACAGAAGCAGAATCTGAGTCCATGGAGCTCAGAGGCTGAAGTCCACATTCCCCACCAGGAAAGCCTTCACTCTGAGAAGGGGCAAATCTGAGCCCCTTCCCAGCCTCAAGGAGAGGAGGGGTGAGAAGCAGAGAGTAACAGGGAGTGCGTGCCACGTGCCAGGCACAGCAGTGGGCAGCTGCACACACGGCCGGTGACCTGACTTTCAGGAAGCTCTGCTGTTCCCTCTGCAGCAGGGACCTCTCCAGGTTGTCAGAGACCACGTGAAGCAGCATCTTGAGCTGACCTGCACAGCCAGGCACGCACAGGCTCATCGCTGTTGGGGCGGGGGGTCTCCCTTTCCTCTTCACAGACCCCATCAGAGTGTAAAATAAAGTGGACATGAGGCTGGTACAGAGTGGATGGGACAAAATAACAGAAGCCTCACTTCAGAGCTGGGGCGGGACCTTGGCTGAGCACTTTGCCTCTTTGTGTGAAGAACTCTGGTCAGCATGTGTCCTGTAGCCTATGGACGGTAGGTTTTAACCCCATCTGTGCTGGGGAGGCCTTGGCTCTCCCCGTAGAAAATGATCCACAGCACAGCACAGAGAGAGAACATGACCAGGAGAGATGGTCAGGGAGGGCTTCCTGGAGGAGGAGACAGCTGACTTCATCTACCCTGAGCTGAGTCTGTGCCTGAGGGTTTTAGCCAAGGCCTCCCTGAGCCAGATGGAATTGTCATAAAGGGGACCCCAGAATCTAGAGTGCTGCTTTTCCCAGGATCTGGGAAAGTAACAAGGCAGCTGTCCCAGACATGTCACCTGTGGCCCTAGGGTGAGCCTGAGAATGCGCTTAGCTTCCTCTCATCCACTGTAAGCCAGGCCAGGCCACGTGAGCTGTCAGGACTCCCAGACTAAGTGACCTGGTCAGAGGGACCCCCAGACTGTCTGACCTTAGCCAAGGTAACCTTCAGACTGCCTGACCCAGGTCAGTGACACCCAAACAGACAGACCTGAGCCAATGGCCCCATCCAGATGACCACCAGACCATCTGACTTCGACCAGACTGACTGACTGACCTCAGACCAGCTGACCACGGCTAGAGTGACCCCTGACTGCTATCAAACAACTCCAGCAGTTGACCCACCAGGCTGACTGACCCCAGCTGACTGTCACCACCCAGAGTATCCCTTTCCAGCGGCAGAAGGACTCCTCTCCCTGTCCCGTGTCCATCCCCAGTCCTGAGTTTCTGGGCCAGGCCCACTGCAGCCATCACCCTCAGAGGGTAACAAATTTGGGGCCAGGCTCTCCAAGGAGAGCCCCAGCCTGACCTGGTCCCCAGCTCAGCCTGGGATGGGAACAGTCTGCCCTCCCAGATCCTGGGGAAAGCCCCCATCACCTCCAGTCTGGATGGCTCAGGAGCTAGGAGTCCCAAAGCCAGGCCCCCAATTCTGCTAGAGACCCAGCTCCTGCTGGGGGCCCCCAGCCCAGAGGGAAGAAAATAGATCAGACTTTGCATTGACAGCAAGAACAGTCAGGAAATCCCTCTCGGCTCCATCGACCCAGACTGGGGCCCAGACATGCACACACACATCAACGCCACCACATGAGGGCTGCCACCCACCACCAGGACCTGCCATGCTACTGTCACGCAAGTGTATGCTCCTCGGTTCTTTGTCTCGTCGCAACAAAAATTTGGAGTGACAGACATTGAAGCCCCCTCAGCGGGTCGCAGCTCTCGGAGAACAGACCGTGTTATAACTCTTAAATAAATCAGTGTTACAGCTCTATTTATTTAGATAATAGCAGGAAAATCCATCTTCGAGGCGTGAGGGCACGTAGATCCAAAGAGGCGAAGAGCGCCCCGTCGCGTGGGAGAGAGAGAGAAGAGGGCTTTGGCTCCTCTTTTTATACGTTTCTCTGTCCCTGGGCCTGTTCTATGCAAATTGGGCTTAGGCAGGAGCGTTGTTTGTTTTACCTGAGGTTCTCACTCCGGTCCTCGGACCTTCCTTTGTTTTATTTTCGCGGGCTTTCCCCTTCCAGGTCTTTTAGCCACCGCCATTTTGGACTCCTTTTCCCTATTCTAACTACCTAACACTACTATCCCTCAAAGTAACTCGCAAGGTAGGTACTATGATTACTCCTATTTTACAGATGGACGCCAAGGCACAGGGAGGTGGAGGTGGCTTGCCCAAGGCCACATCTTAAGTCTGAGAAGCTGGGATTTAAGCCATCTATCTTCATTCAAGAAGACTGGCCACATGTCCCAATTCAGTTCCATTCACAGGACTCTCATTCACTGAGAATATAAAGCAGGCCCCGGGTTGGCACCAGTAAAGGCACGAGGATGGTTAAGACTCAGCTCTGCCTCCAAGGACTTCCTAGCCAGAGTGGAGGTGAGGGAATGAGGCAGAACAGAGAAGAGTCAAGGCCACAGTGGCGGGGATGGTCGGGGGAGGGGTGGTCAGGGGAGGAAGGTAGGTGCAGGGCGATGGGTTCCTGGAGGTGGGCACATGTGAGCAGAGCCTGGAGGGATGGATGTCATTGTGGCCAGCAGAGATGGAGAGGGGCATTTGAGGCAAAGGGCCCAGCAGCAGCAAAGGAAGGTGGTGGGTAACATGATCATCCGGGACATAGAGAGGAACCCAGACTGGCCAAAGCAATGGGAGATGAGACTGGTGGGCAGGAGGCTGAGGCCAGATCTAGCAGAGCCAAGTGCCAGAGTGAGAGATCCAGCCTCGTTCTGAGTGGGGAAGACACAATTCATATTGGAGCAGAGAAGCTCCTGGATTCAGATGAGACAGTGTGATACATCCTATCAGCCAGCGGTCCTCAGCCTTTTGGAGACCAGGGACCAGTTTCGTGGAAGACAATTTGTCTCGACAGGGCGGGAGGGTGGGAGCGGCAGTGGTTTTGAGATGACTCAAGCACATTACAT